TTTTCTCTCTCATATGTTCTTTGTCTCAGGATACTAAGTGGCAGGATGTATCCAATATCCAAAACAAGAAGCCTGGGAGTCATCCCAGACTCCTTGCTTTCTCTCCACTATTGTACTAAGACATGAAATTTTATCAACCTCACTCCCAAATATCATTTTTTTTTTTTAATTTATACAAGCACTGGGTACAGTCAGAAGCGCGGGAGGGTGAGAGAATTCACCAGAGCCAGAGCAGGGAACAGAACAGGCAGACTGACGAAATAGACTGCTGAGGGGAGCAGTGGGCACGGCAGGAGAGGTCTGCCATGCCATATGGGACCCTCGCTGGCAGCCGGGGATCGAACTGGTGCTGCAGCTGTGGGCAGCTTCACAGCCCAGCACTCAACTGCTGCACCACCAGGGGAGTAGGAATATCTCTTAATGGTTCTTTCTATCTAACTCCTGTTGCTCTGGTTTAAGTCCTCATAAACCCCATGAGTAGGATATACATGAACTTACCAAAACACTCCTCTTAATATTATAGACTGACAATCTTAAATGTTGTGGCTGTGTACCAGAGCTGCTGACCATTGCCAGCCATGCCTTTTGTCTCTGCCTAGCGGGCAGCTTATGATTTGCATACCACATGGTCTTGGCCCCATTGCCAGTTGGGCCAGGAAAGGGTTTCTGACCCAATGATGGCTCCTTCTATGGGTTTGAGTCAGACACTGTACGACTTGGTGGCTGGTTGTAAAATATAAGCTCCCTTTTTGAACTTAAGACTAGAGAAGCTGAAATACTCAGATCACTGTAGTGATGAACAAAAATGGTTAGTAGGACTGGTGGGCATAGGCAAACAGTAGTTACGGAAATCAGGTGCTGTGAGTAAGCATGGGAGCTGGTGAGGTAGGAGAGAAAAGGGAAAGAAGAAAGCTGAGACTATGAGTGGGAGCTGCCTTTTTGGTAGGTTCTTTAAGGAGTACTTGCTGAGGCCAAGCCATATTGTGATTCCTATTGTCAGTTGCCATGTAACTTCTGCATTATTATAAACAAACAAAACACTCCTAAGCTAACCTCTGCTTCCTGCAATAAAATGGCCAGTTCTGTGTTTCTGTAAACCCTTATAATGTTATGAGGCAGCTGGAAAAAAGCAGTCCTGTAGCTACTCTAAGAGCAGCAATATGCAATCCCAAATTCATTATACGTTACACTCCTTTAAAAAGTATTAGCTTAAAGGGGAAAAAAGGTTATATCACTTTTTCCTTTGGAAGTGGAGATTATGATTAGCTTTCTTATTTCGAAAAGAATATCTAAAAACAATTTGATTCTTGCAAACACAGTTTTAGAAATGAAAAGTAATTACCTGCTACAAATATCATATGAAAATCTCTATAATAAATGACATAACATGTTTGAAGCTTATCAACAGTGGGATAGTCAAAATACCTTTTAGATACTATATTTTTAGTTATCTGCTTTTAAATTTTCCAACTTTTCCACCACAGGGATTGCTGAAGGTCACTAGGATTCTTAGTTACATGACCATATTCATTTTTAAAATATGAATTAGTATCTAAATTTACTGAACATTTATAGGTAAAAAATAGCATTACATCATAGACTCAGTATACTGAGAGTGGAATACGATCAGGAAGCATCTTTATTCATGTCTTCCACTACCCCTATAAAAGGTCTCCAAAGGGAAATTTCTTACTCTATTTAGGATTAAAAACCAAAAACAGGGTGAGGATTCTTTTTTTTTTTTTTTAAGATTTATTTATTTATACAAGCACTGGGTACAGTCAGAAGCACAGGAGGGTGTGAGAATTCACCAGAGCCAGAGGGGGGAACAGAACAGGAAGACTGACAAAATACACTGCTGAGGGGAGCAGCAGGCGGCAGGAGAGGTCTGCGTACCATGTGGGACCCTCGCTGGAGGCCGGGGATCAAACTGGCACTGCAGAGGCTGTGGGCAGCTTCCAGCCCAGCGCTCAACCTCTGTGCCACCGGGGAGGCCCAGGGTGAGGATTCTTTTTTAACATTCTTAGACAACAGAAAGTGCCATTGTTACTTTAAATTGTGTTTAGTGTCAGAATAAAAACTTAGAACTTGGCTTAAAGTTAAATCTTGCCCTTACCTCATGTTCAGGTAGGAAGCTGAGGAAGATGGTCCTTCGTTCCTTGTGATCCTTTTGTGGCTGGGATAACAGAAGCCATTATTGGGGAAAGGGCAGAAGTGTAACCACCCAAATGCTAAGTTTTAAGATGGTCTTAATTTTCTAGGCTTAGTACCATTTAAGGCAGACCACATTTCACAAAGTGTTTGGTAGGTTCTTGGGAGCTTGTACTCATAGCTGGTGATGTCTCACCTGCAGTTCCCTTGATTCAGGCAAGCGTTCTCTCTATTGAAGGCACCGCCTGCTTTCACCCCCTGGGAACCTCGGGTTCTCTGAATGCTTCTCCCTTTCTGCCTGCTCCTAAGGCTCCTTTCCTGGCTGCTCATAAAGCTCCCTGCAGCCAGCCCTCTCTCACTTTTGATCCATGTCTCTTCCATGAAGAAATATGCACGCATTCTTCCCGTGGACAAACTCCGAACATGAGCAACTCTACATGCTCACCCTGCAGCACAGATGGCGTGCTAGCCCATCTCTCATGTGATTTCCCAAGAAGGAGGTAGACTTTTGTCTTCTCCTATCCCGGGACATATTTTAGGCTTTCTGATGAGTTGTACTCATGTCTCTTTCTTTTATGTGACCCCAATATTTTGCTTTGATGGAAAGTGAGCCTACACCTTTCTTTGAAAAAACCCTCCAATTATTTTTGTCCCCAATCTCCAACAATCTTTGTGTGACCTAGTGATTCCTTTGGAATGTAGCACCCAGTTTCTCGGTACCCCTAGTAAACACTTTATTTTTTAACACCTTTTAAGTATGTTATGGGTTTTGTTTACTTGTCTCAAATGATAATGGTAGAAATTTGTTATTTGGATGAAGTCCTTCCACCATGGTTATACTCAGTAAAGAAGTGCTCCAAAAGAACAAACCTCTACAGTCTCTGACCAGCCCTGTTTCTGAAGGGAAACAAATGGAGTCTCTCTTTGCTTAACAGTGCCTGAAACACTTGGAACTTTTCCAACTGTGGTGCAGGAGAAGAATCAGCAGTCCCAGGACACATGGGTCACATAGCTCTCACCCTGCCTGGAACAGAGAAGGAGCACAGATTCCCAGACACATGTGGGAGGTCTTGTCTATGACCTCCTCACCCTGGTTGTATTGAAGCTATAAATGTCCTGCAGGGCTGTTAGTGGGAACTGCTGAGCTTAGCATGTTTGAGGACTAGAAGGACTGAGAAGGACTCAATAGAGAGGATACACCTGAGGAGCCAGGAGCCAGAAGGGCTGAAGGCAGGAAACAAGAGTGAACACTGCTATCGGGAAAAAAAAAATAAGATTACCTGAAGTGTGGACTGTGGACTCTGATCTCTCTAGTCAGTTTCATCTCCTTCACTCCTTTCCTCTTCACCTCAGTCACAAAAAAACCTCACATCTCTTGCCACACTCTTGTTTTTCATATGCTCTTCCTCCAAAATGGATACCCTCCTCATTTCCAGCCTCACTCCATCGCTTCTATTCAACCATCAAGATTTAGTTTAAGTTTCTGTGAAATCTTCCTGCCATTTCCCCTATGTGGCTGCTATGTCATTTTAACATGTCTCAGTTCCAGTTAATAAAGCACATTGTTGCCTTTCCTTTACTCCTCAAGAGAAAATGAGTATCTCTAGACATGGACTGTGCCATGTTCATTTTTGTACAGGCATACCTCAGCGATCGTGCTGGCTTGGATCCAGAACACTATAGTAAAGCCAAGTTGCATTAAAGTGACTCACATGCATGTTTTTGTTTCACAGGGCTCATAAAAGTTATGTTTACACTACACTGTAGTCTATTAAGTGTGCAATGGCATTATATCTTAAAAAATATATACCATAATTAAAATGTTGTATTGCTAAAAAATGCTAACCATCATCTGAGTCTTAGGCAAGTCATAATTGTTCTGTTGGTGGAGGGTCTTGCTTCTATGTTGATGGCTGTTGACTGGTCAAGGTGGCAGTTGCTGAAGGTGGTTGCAGGAAGGTGGCTGTGACAATTTCTTTTTTTTTTTTTTTTAATAATAAATTTTATTTTTATATTCCCCATACAATTGCAGCCCCCAATTCTGACCCCAATCCCTCCCCTCCCGCCCCCGTCCCCCTAAAAGTGTCTCTGGTTCATAGTTTTTTGTTGATTTTGATTTTCACTTTCTTATAGTTATTCATTTTCCTGGTCCCTTATTTAAGTTTTCTAGATTCCTGCTATGAGTGAGACCATCCGGTATTTTTCTTTTTCTTTTTGGCTTATTTCGCTGAGCATGATCCCTTCCAGTGTGAGGTAGTGGTCAAGCTTCATTCTTTTGCATGTAGCGACCCAGTTTTCCCAGCACCATTTATTGAACAAACTTTCTTTGCTCCAATGCATAGTCTTTGCTCCTTTGTCAAAGATTAGTTGACCATAAATCTGTGGGTTTATTTCTGGATTTTCTATTCGATTCCATTGGTCTGTATGTCTGTTCTTGTTCCAATACCATGCAGTTTTGATGATTATGGCTTTGTAGTATAGTTTGAAGTCTGGGAGTGTGATGCCTCCATTCCCTTCTTTTTTTTTCAGGAGAGCTTTGGCTATTCGGGGTTTTTTGTGATTCCATATGAATTTCATCAATAATTGTTCTATTTCTTTGAAGAATGACATTGAAATTTTGATTGGAATAGCATTGAATCTGTATATTGCTTTTGGAAGGATGGCCATTTTAATAATGTTTATTCTTCCAATCCATGAGCAGGGGATGTCTTTCCATTTCTTTGTGTCTTCTTCTATTTCTTTTAACAGTGTTTTATAGTTTTCTTTGTATAGGTCCTTTACCTCTTTTGTTAGATTTATTCCCAAATATTTGATTTTTTTTTGTTTCAATAATAAAAGGGATGGTTTTTTTGATTTCTTCTTCTTCAGATTTATTGTTTGTGTATAGGAAGGCTACTGACTTTTGCGTGTTGATTTTGTATCCTGCCACTTTACTGAACTGATTGATGAGTTGAATTAGCTTTTCTGTGGAGTTTTTGGGGTCCTCTATGTATATTATCATATCATCTGCAAATAGTGATAGTTTGACTTCTTCTTTTCCTATTTGGATTCCTTGTATGTCTTTCTCTTGTCTTATTGCTCTGGCTAGGACTTCCAGTATTATATTGAAAAGCAGTGGTGAGAGTGGACATCCTTGTGGCAATTTCTTAAAGTAAGGCAACAGTGAAGTTTGCCAAATCAATTCACTTGTCCTTTTATGAAACATTTCCCTGTAGTCTGTGATGGCATCTGATAGCATTTTATCTACAGTAGAATTTTTTTTAAAATTGGACTCATTCCCCTCAAACCCTGGTACTTCTTTACCAACTAAATTTATGAAATGTTCTAAGCCCTCTGTTGTCATTTCAACAATATTCACAGCATCTTCACCAGGCGTAGACTCCATTTGAAGAAACCACTTTCTTTGCTTACTAATAAAAAGCAACTCATCATCTATTATAGTTTTTTTCATGAGATTGTAGCAATTTACACATCATTAGGTTTTACCTCTAATTCTAGTTTTCTTACTATTTCTGCCACATCTGTGATTACTTTCTCCATTGATGTCTTCACCCTACCCGCCAAAGCCATCCATGAGGGTGGAAATCAACTTTCAATATGCTGTTAATTCCAGTGTTTTCACTTCTTCCCATGAATCATGAATATTCTTTTTTTTTTTTTAAAGATTTATTTATTTATGCATACACAAACTGGGGTACAGGCCAGACGTACAGGGGCGTGAGAGGATTAACCAGAGACAGAGTGGGGAACAGAACTGGCAGATACACTGCTGAGGGGAACAGCAGGAGAGACAGGAGAGGTCTGCTGTATCATGTGGGCAGCTCCCTGGTTGAGGATCGAGCTTGTGCTGGAGAAGCTGTGGATAGCTTCAGAGTGTTGTGCTTAACCCCTTATGCTACTGGGGAGGCCTGAATCATGAATATTCTTAATGCATCTGGAATGATAAATCCCTTCCAGAAGGTTTTCAACTTACTTTGTCCAGAGCCATCAGAGGAATCACTATCAATTGCAACTATAGCGTTAAGAAATATTTTTCTTAAAAAATGGACTTGAGGGGCCTCCCTGGTAGCACAGGGGGTTAAGACACAGCACTATGAAGCTGTCTGCAGCTACTGCAGCATGATCCCTGGCTGGGAAGGTGACCCACATGGCACAGCTGACCTCTGTGGCACGCCCGCTGCTCCCCTCAGCAATGTATTTCAGTCATTCTGCCTGTTTTGCTCCCCACTCTGTCTTTAGTGAATGCTCTCACCCCCCACATCTCTGGCTTGTACCCCAGTTCTTGTATGCATAAATAAATAAATCTTAAAAAAAATAAAAAAGGCCTGAAAGTCAAAATTACTCTTAGATCGATGGATTGTAAAGTGGGTGCAGGCATGAAAACAACATTCATCTCCTTGTATATGCTTATCAGAACAGTAATATTTTGAAATAAATCTTTTCTTTTTTTCCTCAGCAGTAAGTTTCAATATTGGGCTTAAAATATTCAGCAAACCATCTTGCAAACAGGTGTGCTATCATACAGGCTTTGTATGATATAGAGTACAGGTAAATTAGATTTAGCATAATTCTTAAGGGTCCTAAGATTTTCAGGATGGCAAATGAACACTGACTTCAACTTAAACTCACTAGTGGCTAATATAAACCTCAAACAGGAGAGTCAACCTATCCTTTGGATCTCTGAAGCCAGGCATTGACAATCTGTAGCTATAAAAGTCCTACATGGCACAGTCTTCCAATAGAAGACTGTTTTGTCTACATTGAAAATCTATTGTTTATCAGTGATCTTAGCTAGAGCTTCTAGATAATTTGCTATAGCTGTTACCTCAGCACTTGCGCTTCATTTTGTGCTTTGATGTTATGGAGACAACTTCTTTTACATTTTGTCTGAAGCTTTCTCAACCTCTCAGTCATCATAGCTTTTCAACCTCTCAGTTATCCACCCAAGAAATCAGGGTACACACTATATTTTTAATACTTTACATAAAATGATGAAGAATATTTTGTCTTAAGATGACGTATCTCTCCAGTTACGGTCAGAAGTGAATTTGCCCCAAGATGTTAAAACCTGATAAAACTACCATATTCTAATAAGTTGAATTAAAGGTGGTCTTCAAGTATTGCAAATAAATTGACAATTTGACTATGTACAAAACAGGTTGAGAATCTTATATACATTTTGAGGGGTTAAGTCTTTTTTTTTTAATCAAATGAAGCATCTTCAACTAGGATAATTACTCTCTTCTTCCCAGGAAAATGAGCTCTAATTTTGCACAGGTATTATTAAGTTTCACTGAAATAAGCTTCTTGCAGGTATATTTGTTAAAACATTTCTTTATTGACTGTGCAGTTATTAACAATTCACATTTCACTTTATCTATTGAGTAGAAGGGCATTTATTCTTTCATTAAAAAGTTAAGCCTTCAGGGCAGCAGCAGGGACTCAGAGCCTTTTTCCTATAAATGGCACTGTCCAGTGACTGTTAAGTGCTTCCATATTAATAAGAAGGGGAAAAAACAAATTAACTTTGCCTGCCTTCCATCATCCCCTCCCTGCCAATATACTCTTATTTTATAAAATGTCAACAGGTGAACAGTTCCACACTAGTACTTCCATCAATTTGAAGAAGTTTATCAACATTTATTTGGCACCACTGAATTCAGAACATCCTTAGGGTTGCAAGAAAGTGACAAAAGAAATCTTGGGACCTGGTCATTTCCTCAGGAAGATGCCATTTGGACAGAGAAGGTGGAAAATCTTGAGAACCTTCCTCAGCCTCCAACGCTTTGCTGCTCAAGTTTCTGGAGCTGTTTTTCAAGTTTTGAGATGTTTACTTGATGCATCATCAGAAACTGGCCATTCAAATGAAAGACTGGGATGTCAAATTTATATCTTTCATACCAAGCATAATTTTCTGGGAGTGTGATGTCAACTTCCTGTAAAATAAACTGAAAACAGAGACAGATTAAAGGTCTATATTTTAGAGAATACGAAGCAATGCAGTGACTGCAGTGACAAACCAATCACCGGAATGGTGGTAATGCTGAGAGATTTTTGTTGGTTTTTTTGTTTGTTCCAAGGTGATTTAATGTCTCTGATTTCCACAACTTTATTGATTTTTTAATATTCCCTAACTCCTGATAATGCTACCTTTATGTTATGCCTGCTATACTCAAGAGTCGGGGCACTAGTCAGTTCTCAATGAAATAATATGTGTTCCTACTGTGAAGCTGCCTGAAAATCAGTACAGGTGTGTTTTGGTTATAAGAATGGGAAACATGTCACAGTTTGGTACAGGAAAATACTTCCATGGAAATGACAAAATAAAAGGAATAGGGACAAAAGTTTTAAGAAAGGATGAGTATTGCTCCTGCTTTTTAACTTTGACTGATATTAAGAGTCAGAGTGAGAAAACCAGTACTGTTCAGAGGAAAAACACTTAGGGGTAATGAGTTTTATGGAAATCAGCACTAAAATGTCTCAGAAGAATAGAAAGAAAATTTAAATGAAAAATCATTTAATCTCTTTTCCTAAAGAAAGGATCCAGGCAGATACTTTATACCTCATACACTATCCATTCTACATACATAAAACCACACTGTATTATATTACCCTGTTTTTATAAGGCTTCAGTACTTCCTTGGCTTCATCACAAAGGGGGCAAGGATCCTGTAGGAAGAAAAAAATAAGGCCATTAAACCCAAAGAATGGCATGTGAACTCATAAAAACCACCCAAAGCATTTTATACTTGTTTTAAAGGACAATTTTCTACTAGGTTAATTATATTGTTTTATTTCCAAAACAAAACACTATAATATAATCGTGTAAATAGCTATATTTCATGGTAAATGGGCTCTCAGCATTTTGTAGTTGTATTGCTTTGATTTTTCTCCAAAAATAAATAAATCTATCTAATAAATGTAGATGCTTGTATTTGTTACATGTATGTGTATATATAAATGTATATATGTGCATATAATGTATGAACACATAGATATGTATAACAAGTGTAAACATCTATATTACTAGATAGTAGGTAGGCAGACACATACATACAACACATTTAGATAATTACTTTGTTACTGTTTTCATCCAGTTGCTATCTGGGAAGATTGTTTTCCACTCATCTGTGGTGTTAGGGCTTTGTCCTTTCTACTGAGTTGGTGTTAGTGACTGCTCCATCTTCAGGAAGGAAAATCTACTGATACTTTGGATAATGATTATAACAACTAATTAATGATTTGTCTGTTTTTTCATTACAAGTGTCAGCAATAGTTTTTGCAGGCCAATTCTTCATCCAAGGAGCCCATTGTTGCTTATACTCTTTCACCACTTTGTGGAGAAGTCTGTCAAGGATCCTGTGGACATTTGGCAGTCTTAAAGGCTGAACAACCCTTGAGTCTGTGAACAGGGACTAGCTATAGGTTCTCTTGCATGAGATCAAAATAGATTCAACATTATTGATGTTTATATAAAACCTGCTTTTTAACATGCCAAGAAGAAATGAACTGTTATTGTCAAGGAAAATCCTTTCCTGCACTTTAACTCAAAGTTTGTTTGGAATAAGAACTCAGACATCAAAAGGCAGTTTTCCTTCAGAAGGCTTTTTCTAGCCCTAATTTCCTGGTTGAGAGAATTCTGCTCATCATGTCATTGTTAGCATCATCAATAAACACATTATAGTCTGTGATATTTTAAGATAATCATATTGACATTTTCTGAGAGAGTTTCAAAAAGTCAACAGAGGAACTTAAAAGCAAAAGCAAAACAAGAATAACCTAAATTGCAGTAGTATCGAATGTAACAACATTTTGTTTTACATTAAAAACTTGAGCAGAGCATAGATCAAGTTCTTTGTTTTGCTTTTTAAACAAGTCTATGCAAATTAGCACATGTATATGTATTTTTTTGGGGAAAGTTCATCAAATTTTAAGGAGGTCTATGAACGGAAAAAGAATAAGACCCACTGGTCTAAATCACTCAATCCTTCTCTACGATTTTCCATAGCGCCAGTAGAGCACTTATTTTCTCTCTGAACTATAATAGACATTTGTTAGGTTGGCTATGTACCACTCACTCCCCTTTCTTGTAGCAAGAATGCTGTCTTCTTGTCTGAGAGGCACTGCTTTCAGTATATGGCTGACTCCACATAAAACATGGGTGGAACACCTGACTAGGCTGAGACAATTGCACATCATATGCCTCTTAGTTAAGAATGGTGCCAGTCAACCAACCAGAGTCAATGGATCACATCAGTTGTCTGCTGGTAGATATCTGAGATGTGAATCTGGAGCTGAAATGATAGCAGTCATCCAAGAGTAGAGTCAGAATGAGGATAGATCTAATCCAGAGGATAAGGAGCTAAAGAGATTAGTAACATACCTAGTTTCTGAATCAAGCTACTCCTAAAACCACACCAACCCAAAATATCCCCTTTTTGTTTAAGCCACTCTGGGAAGTACTTTCTATTATTTGTAACTGAAAGAGACTGATAATTTCTCTTTCACTGGATTGTGAATTCATGAAGGTGAAAGTGACATTATATGCCTAATGAAATAAATCAAGTGCTTAATATGCATTTTAAGCCAAATGGAAGATTAGTGGTGCTTTTTTTTTTTTTTTTTTTGGTAAATGTTTAGCAAACTTGGCTATTGCTCACATTGAAAAATAGTGCAAAGTAGTTAGGCTGTGTGAGCACCATTAGCCTTAAGGATTATTTTATTTTTGTTGTTAATTCTCACATGCATTACTTATATGTAGACACAGATGATGAAATATTTTTGTTCCATTATTTTGAACAATGCGATATATGCTTATGGATATGGAAAGTAGTTTAGATGAACTATTCTTAACAAGAAATGCATTTAAAAAATGAAATAAGCTTTGTTATAACTCTTAGATATCTTCAAATTACTAAATGCTTGAAATCTAAAGAAACATTAAATAAGAGTCCTTTTTTTGTTTCAATTACAATATTATTCATTAAGGTTAATTCTATTACCATGCACTTCTTTCTTTTTTTTAATTATAAATCACACAAAGTAATGTAACTAGCAAAAGGATATTAGTAATGTTTGTACTATAAGTTTCAGGGGATAAAGCTCTTAAAATATTTAAACTTTCTCTATGGAATAAAACTAGTGTTAGGCATAAGAAAGTAAGTACAGCCAATCCTCATTATTTGTGAATTCTGTATTTGTACATTTTCCTATTCAGTAAAACTTATTTTTTTTTATAATAAATTTTATTTTTATATTCCCCATACAATTGCAACCTCCCCCATTCTGACCCCAATCCCTCCCCTCCCGCCCCCCACCCCCCAGAAAGTGTCTCTGGTTCATAGTTAGTAAAACTTATTTTTAATCCCCAAATCAATACTCAGGCACTAGATATTCACAGTTGTGTGTGTGCACAGGATAGTATGAGACAGCTGTGTGGCCTGATGGGCACATTCCCAGTGAAGTGATTCTCTGCCTTCTTGTTTTACTTCTCATCCTGCAAATAAGTGTCACCTTCATGATCTATTTAGTACCACCGTTTTTTTTTTTTTTTTTGCATTTTGGTGCTTTTTGTTGATGATTTTTCTGTTTAAAATGGCCCTCAAGCATAGCACTAAAGTGCTGTCTGGCATTTCTAAGCAGAAGGTTGTGATGTACCTTGTAGAGAAAATATGATGTTAGATAAGCCTCATTTGGATATGAATGACAGTACTGTTGGATATAGTTGAATGTTAATGAATCAACAATATATATTGAATATGTTGCCTTAGAACAGAAAGACACATAAAACAAGGTCATGTGTTGACTTGTTGACAAAGAAGTTGTGACCAGATACTCATGTGAATCTAACCTTTTATTTTCCCTGGGAGCAATGGTGCAATATTCGCTAATCCAGTGTTTAGAGAGACTTATAGAACATAAGTTATCACAAATAAGAAAACCGACTATATTTCTATGTGATAATTTATAAACATCATATTATAATCTGATCTTCTTTTCATTGTAGAGGTCAAATGACTATTAAATAAATTAATTTACCCTCTGAGAATTGTGAGACCATAAGACAGGGAACAGAATTATAACTGTTGTAATTGAAACTGAGATATTGAGGAACAGGTCTGAAGAAAGCTTATTCCATTGCTTTTCCTTTCAACATTTTTTCCTTCTTAAATATATACTTTTTTCACCCAATAGTTTTAATATTTTATGTTTTTAAAGTGGTAATTTGCTTTTTTACTCAGTACCTTTGTGAATAAGGTCAGCACAGGCAGAGCAGTCTTAGCAGCAGAGAGATTTCTTGAGAGGAGTCCAAAGGAGTATTTGGCAAGTTGGATGCCATTTCCTTGAAACCAGAGCATCTTAATTCTGCCAAAAGAAAAACGAAACAGTAAGCTTATGTGTCCTAGACTTCATTCCTTACAATATGAACAATAAGCTGCAAGTCTATGATGAAATTTGAAGACTTCAGAATTGATTCTTGGGGTCCAGGAGTGTTAGAGAGACCCAGATATTCAACCAGTTTCCATGTTGCATCAACATTCATGGTATTCCAAACAAAGTAAAATTTAGAATGGGGAAAAATCCTTATATATGGATTAGCTGTATGCTTAATCATGTAGTGGTTTCAGTAAGCAAACTACAAGGATTTGTTAATTTGAATATAAAATTAAATTTCACCTGCAGATTTTGCCTGCATCCTGATGATCCCTTAAAATGTAGAGGATTCCTGAAATGGTTTTTCTTCATAGAGCTAGTTTATATTATTGGCAAAAACTCAACAACATTCAGTCATCATCACAGTAAAGGGAATAATATTAAGCAACACAGGTCCCCAGCTGAAGGTGAAGGCTATCTCATATGAGATCTATGCCCCTCTGGTGCAAGAGATGGAGAAGCATAGAGCTGTACTTAGAGAGCAGTAGGGGAGAATCAGGCCGAGTTAACTTGTCAGAAATAAAAATCTACTCAACTCCTTTAGGATTATTTTAAAAGTAGTTTGAGGCCTCCCCTCGTGGCGCAGGTGGTTGAGCGCCGCGCTGTGAAGCTGTCCACAGCCTCTGCAGTGCTGGTTCGATCCCGGCCGGCCAGTGAGTGTCCCACATGGCACAGCAGACCTCTCCTGTCTCCCCGGCTGCTCCCCTCAGCAGTGTATTTCATCAGTCTGCCTGTTCTGCTCCCTGCTCTGTCTCTGGTGAATCCTCTCACCCTCCTGCGCATCTGGCCTGTACCCCGGTTCTTGTATAAATAAATAAACAAACAAACAAACAAACAAATAAATAAATAAATGTAGCTTGCCATCACTTTAGGTAATATAAACATTTATTAGTGTTCATATTGGATACCTCCAATGTTCCCAATTTCAATAAGAACAACTTGGTAATAGCAGCATGTCAAGCATGACCCTGTCAAATTTCCTCATCTTGCTACTTTGCTCTATGTAAGGCACCTACTTATTCCTACTCATTCTACTGAATTTCCATCTTGGTCCTTTTTCTTTTTTCTTTTCAAATCGAGGTAACATTGGTTTATAACATTGCATCCAGCTTTGTCCTTAAAACTATAAATATGATAATTTCTTTGAAAACACAAATGCTATTGATGTTTATTATTTATCACTATTCCCAAGATAAATTCATTCTTGGAATCTTCACTTCTTACTTTCTCTTTATTCCCTTCAACTTCATCTGCTACTTTCTCCTCCCTTATTTTGGCTAGTTGCAATGTGAACATCCCCTTTCTGTTTCTTGAATACCCAAAGATCATTTCTTCATTAGGACCTCTGCACCTGCTCTCCTCTGCAATGAAAACTTTTAAGCAGCATCTTCTTACTTGGCCTGGCTCATGTTACCTACTGCGAGATACCTTAAGGACTATCATAACAGTGTTGGTCAGTCCATCATCATTCTCTGTTCTCATATCTTTTCTATAGTCTTCTTTAATCCTTCACCATCTAAAAATATTTCTATACCTATATGTCCTATAAGCTCACAGGAACAGGTATTTGTTCACCTCAATATTCCTGGGCATTCACAATTAACCTGGCACAGGGTAGGTGTTCAAATATTTGTTCGAATGTTAAATGTACTAGAATGAGCCTTTCTCTTCCTCTTTAATCTCACTTCTACTCTGATCAGACACTCAGTATACACAACAGTCTCTATTTAGGCAGATCTCATATCATAACTAAAGGTTAGTGCTCCTTAGGGTGTCCACAAGATCGTGGGCCAGGCTACTACAGCTGGTCCAAATGCCTTCACCACCACCTGGGATCTCACCCTGTTCTGCTTCACAGAGCATGACTGTATTAATTAAGTGCTAATCTCCATTGTCGACCAGGCTCCTCTGTGTAAGATTAGCTTTAGCACATTTCAAATAGAATGATATGACTATAGAGGAAAACACCAACCCATACCAAACTAGAGCAAAGACACAGTACAAAAAGATCATATCCTGATCCACGAAAGCAATAATCTTTCTTTCATTCTTAAACCCTTAGTCTTCTATTTCTCCCTAGATATCTCTGCTAACTAAATGTTCCTGATAATGCATAGAAAAAGAATGTGATAATTTTGCAGGGCTCTGCAACCCAGCATTATTCAAAAGGTTGAAAGTGGAGCTAAACAATTTCACACTATGCTGTGCTGCTCTCAACTAAGTATTAAGCCCTGGTACACGTTTTCCATAAATTCAGCAGAATCAAGAATTCTAGGAGATGAATGTAGTTAGAGACAACAGCCTCTAAATCTGGCTTTCTCTACATAGGATATAAATCGGGTTGAAGGTGGAATGTTAGCCTTGATTACATTAGGTAGAAATTTCTGCATTGCTGGTTTTGAGAAAGCCCTACACCAATAGCGGCATACTGTCTTAGGATGTGGAGTTAAAGAAGTTATGCTATATGGAGAAAGAAAAATTTTAAATTCGGTTAGAGTACAGGCAGAAAGATAGCCCTGAGAAATGGGAAGGATCAGACTATCTATGGCAGTGATCTAAAACTGTAACCAGAACAGTGGACCACAGCTACTTGGTTTTAGTGGAGGGATTTAAGATTGATGTCTGGCTGGTAAGGGAAGAAAGACTTACTGCTTTTACCTAGCTGAGTGGAGACTAAGGTGTTAAGGCTTAACCCCCCTCCACCACCACCCCCAAAAATCACATTCACAATGGAAATCTGCTTCAGTATTTCCAACATGACAAAACACAGCATGTGGTCTTGTTGCACCCAAGACAAATAAAACCTGTCATAGTAAACAGAGTTGCTATTCATTACAGATTTGCTAGAATATTTGTTCAACCAATCCAGAGAGCTAAGTAAAGTCTTCAGTGATGCTCCAACCATTCCATTTCCAACTAGTTCTGTTTTCTACTGTCAATCTCCATTTCTCCTTTCTTACAAGTATTTAATCACTTAAATATGGCATGTTTACTGAAAAATGCATTAGAATTATGCATTTTTACTACCTGCATATTTTTCAAGCGTCCTAAGGCACATGTGTTTTATCATATTGTTAAATTAATTTATTTCTTGGTAAGCACTTTATTTAAAATTATATTAGAGTATGATTTAAGAAAAAGCTCCATATACCTTTCCTGGGCACACTAAGATGGTAAGCCTAAAATTCTGAACACTAGAATCTACTTAATTATAAAAATAAAAGGTAAAATTAAAAATGATAATCTAATTGGAACTGTGTAATAGTCTACTTAGACTATTTTACTAACTCTGTAAACCTTAACGCCATTGCTGTCAATGTCACATTCACCGAATTATGCCTTCTTGAAGTAATATCTTAACATGGGCTACTCTGTCAATGTGACGTTTTCATTAGTTCTATTATTTTTGAAAGGTATCTCAGCAGTATAAAAAAAAAAAATCCTAAGAGGCAGTCTCTGTCTGTTAGTTCAGGTCTGTGAGGGGAGACGTTTTTTATTAAGTCATTGAATTTAGTCATGAGATATGTATCTTTACTATACACACAGACACAATTTTCTCCTTGGCATTTTGTTATATACCTCTGTGATATAAGCAAAAAGAGCTGTGTTCATAATATCAAAGAATCACAATTGGGTCACCTTTGTCAGAGACCAAAAATAAAAAGAAGGAAAAAAATAAAAGGCAGAAGACTGGATTTAGAATGTGCCTAAAACAAATTCCACAGCCTAACAATAAAGATGGTGACTCCTGCTGTTTCAAGTCCAGTGCTTCTCAGAGGCACAGATCCCCCTGAAAGAGAAGGGAATGCTAGCTTTTCAACAAAACTGATGCTGACTTCAGTGGTCTTTATGGCAGAATCAAATACAACATGGGGGGAGGACTGATTGGACCATTTCAGCTCCTTGAAGCAAGATAAGGAAGATAACTTTATAGCATTTTCCCTGCAAAGCACTGAAGGGCATACCATTAAAGCAACTGATTACAGTACAGAAAGAAGCCAGGGTCATTTGAGCCTTTATTAAGGATTATTCATTTCTTGCATGAGGAGCTGCCCAGGCTATGGCTGCACATCACTTACATGGGGCTCCTGGATTCTTCAAACGCTGTGTGTGTCTGATTAGAAGGGAAACAACATTGTTCTCGCTTGAGTAGAGAAACTGACCTTCACTGACCAGAATTTTTATTCATACAAAGAATCTTTTGGCACACCGAATCTCCAAGCTCACATGATCTCTCATCAGCAAGCTGCAATGTTAGTTCATGTGCAAAATCGAAAAGTCTATATAAGCCCTGGTACCGCCTTGGTTATTAACAGGTAATGTTAAGAGTTTCTTCCTAAGAATATAATGTAAATTTAATGCTAAGCTGACATTAACCAAACACTATTGCTGTAGCTCTCGCTGAACCTGTGTTCCATAAAGAGAGGCTCAGGGCTTCTGTTTAGTCATTTGTGCCATGTGAGATGTTAAGTGCTCCATTTCACATTTATTACCATCTAAGTATAATGTTCCTATTTTTACCCAAATGACTAGATAAACGCACGTGCACATGTGCAATCACACATGCACGCGTGCACACACACACACACACACAAACTCTAATAGGAACAAAATGTTAGATTACTGAAAGTTTATATAGTGCGGTGAGGTTCCTTTTACTCATCTGAGTCACTGCACTCTATTTAGCTCAAGGAAATGGGGAGAGATGATGCCTCCTCTGTACTTCTGGTCAGTCAGCTGTGTCCAAACCTCCCTCTCTCCCAAACAAGTGGAAGCCTAACCTGGGATTTTGGTGCAAGTGTAGAGCCAAGAGTGACAAAACAGGCAGCATAAAGGGATACAACTGAAACTGAAAATTAAGCAAATGCTTTGAGGTGTCAATTCCAAGGAGCCAAGCAGAGAGAGAATGAGGCTATGGAACAGAAACAGGA